GTTTTGTTAAAAAAGATGATTATATTATCGAAAACTCATTTAAAAACTTGTATTGTGACAAATTGAATATGAAAGCTTTTAAATGTATTCTTGAGTTCACAAAAATCATGCAAATGGTGCTATTCTTGGTGAAACTGGAAGATATTCATTATATGTAAATACTATTACGCAATCAACGAAATACTTTAGTAGGCCTTTATACTCAAAACTAACATCTCTTATATTGTAACCGTTTTGCTTAGTTCAATTACCTCTATATAAGTACTGTTTTACTCTTTCACATTCCAACTACATTAATAAACAAAACATTTTCAAGTTCAATCCTGTTTTATTTGACCTGAGTTTTACTAAGAAATTACTGATTCATAATAATACCAAATAATACTGTAATATGAAAAACTTAGAATTAAAATAATAAGTCAACAAACCTTTTAAATTTATAACCAAAAAGATGAAAAAAAATTTTTTTAAAGAGAGAGATGGAGGTGGCTTAGTCCTTTGACAAGTAAAAGTAACCTTATTGTCCGTGAACACAAGCAATGGGAATGGTAAAAAATCTCCCTTATATAGGCTGTCTAAAAGTGTGACTCACAAAAATCTCATGCTAGAATATAGAGAAAATAGAGTTAGTTTCAATTTAATTAGTTACTAAAGAAAGCATTATCAATAAATAAGAAAACCATAAAAGCGTAACATTTAATCATTAATCTTGAAATGACCAAAAATTTCAGGGACCAATTTAACACGTGAAAAGTCATGGATTAAAGTGAATCTTAAATATTTTACTGTAAACAGAAGAATTTTAGAGAGAAATAAATTTATAGAATAAAAGATAAATAAAATGGTTTTAGGAATAATCAAAACTTGCCACAATATACGCTGCACTTCAAGAAAATTTAACTTTTCAAGCACACAACAAAAATAGCCGAGTATCAAGTATGATCTTTGTATTAGATAAACTTAAAGTAACCAAGCATTAGAATTATAGTAAGAATTTATCTTAAATTGTTAAAAACTTAGCCATTAGTGAGTTTAAAACCAAATGGGCAGAACGATTAGACACATGCTACAAAGAACACAATGGAAATTAAGAACTTATTCAAAATTTAAAAAAAGTTTCATGTATGAACTTTATTTGGACGTTATATTAGATCGTCTCTCACTAAATTTAAAATTAATGTTCATAGACTAGAAATTGAAACGGGAAGATATCGAAACATACCTGTCAATGATACAATTTGCAAATGTTGTCTATTACAAGATATTGAAAACAGACTTTATGTTGAGAAGTAATCTTTATGATTTTGAAAGAACATTATTAATTTCTCATATATCTGAAAAGGTACAAACTTTAAAACTCAAAAATGTCAGAACAGTTTGTATATGCGATTTTTAGTGAGAATGATGATACTATTAGTGCTGTAGAAAACTTTGTCCATAAATGTTTTTCATCTGGACTCAAATTTCTAAAAAATGTAACATCTGGTTGAACATATATAGTGGATCATTTGGCTTACTAGTTTTTTTTATTCACGTTTCTAATTTAATATGCCTTAGTTTCTTATTGTTACAGAGTCTATTGTAAATTATGTTTGTTAATCACAATAATAGTTATGTTATATGCTTTTAGTTTTGTACACCTTGTAAAATATCATAATTATGTAATTATATGCCTGTAAATGCCCATAACCTATTCTATTCTATTCCATTCATCGAAAGTAGTGATGTTCCGATTGTCGCAAGTCGCCGATTATCACTTACTGTTATGTAAAACGACAATAATCGATTCACAAAAGTTTGTTCCGCGACGTCGTCAAAAATGTTTTAATTATCAAAGGGAATTTAATTTGACGGTAATTTTCCTTTAGGAACACCTCGCGGATCGCAAAAATTCACTCAGAGACAATTTGGAGTTGAAACAGTGGATCAATAAGTGATGTAAAACAAAAGAAATATATGTGATGAAAATGGTATTATTTGATATCCATTGAAAAATAAAAATCTATTTTCGTAAAATTATGACTATATAAGGTTAAAAACTGTGTTGAAAAGTGCTAAATGAAGTTCATGTTATTAAATATAATCAAGTGCCTTGGTAAGAAATGTTACTTCCCTATTATTTTTTAACGCGACTTTATTCGAAAGTTATCGATTATGTCCCATCCGACTGAACCGATTATCGATTGGGACAAATTTCATCCGATTTCCATCACTAATCGAAAGTGACCTACTATACCGTCCAGGAATCAGGGGTCGTCCGATTTACAGTACAACGCTCTACTACAGGGGCGGATACAAAACATGGTTTCCTGGGGTGCTGACATATGGGTTGAAGATTTTGAAAAATAAAAAAATAAACCGCAACAGGCGAAAATTGGTTGGTTCAGCATCTTGTTCATGTTATAAAAGTTGCAATTGATGTCTTTTATAGCTCATCTTATGAGTGGCAATGTACTTTAACAGATATATGTGTATACTATGTTTTTTTGTAAAAATTTAGATGATATGGAATAAAGAAAAATGTATGTAATTGGGGTACGTGGGCCTGGGAGGGGTGTCCCCTCCCATAAACTGAGGAAATTTTGAAATATGAGGTTGAAAACGGTGTTATTTCCTTGACTTTCTAGTGCTTTTTATGGTACCCTTTGGATGGTTTCACACTACTCTGTATTTTGTAGAGGTTAGTATTTTGCAAGGTCTTTCAAATAGAATTCCCCTGGTGTTTAGTAGTAAGCATTTACAAAAAAACAGCACACTTACCAATGTATGCGCGACCGTTATAAAAAAAAAAATAATTTCAAACACTTGATCAATTTACACATCTGAATAATAGACGATTTTCCAAAGTAAAGTGGTATTAGAAAACTGCCTTTCTATTGTACAAAAACATAATTTCAAACACAATTATTCAATAAGAATTTTTTTCCATCAATGAATCCAGATTTTATTAAAAAATATAACTGTCATAAAAGGTTGTTAAAACTAACTGAGTTAAACGGCCGGTGTTAAGAATAAAACATATCAAAGCACATATTTATATTATTACCGTACAGACCGTGTTTTACAAACTATTTACCGGGTATGGATGAACGGCTTATAGCAAGCTGAAAAATGCTGGTTCCCGAAAACGCGCATGATATATCTTAGTCATCAAAGAGAAGTAACCAATATTAACAATTTCGCAAACATGGCTGCTGTCGATGTCGAAAAGCCGGGATTTTCATTTGAAAATTGCTCCAGGTTTGTATATTTATCTTGAAATCATCAGAAAGTTTATAATTTAGCGCGAAATTAATCTATGAAATCCGTGTTTTATTTGAGTCAGTAAATAGGATGTATTTAGTAGCAAAATTCATAACGTTTACAAAATGTGCAAGTCACTTTGCCGTTTGCGTGTTTAACAAAAGACACTACTCAGTCACAGAATAGTGTTATATCATAAGATACTGTAAAGTGGAAGATACCTTGTACGCGGAAAGTCAAATATTACTCGGTACTCTAACATGAGTAGATCTTTCTAATATCTGTTCAATGCCACAGACACTTGGGTTGTGGAGATTAAAACGCCTTTAGTTTAAAATCCAAATGAAATGTATATTTGTTAATCCCAGCACATGTACTGATCATATATATCAAAAAAATTTAATATAAATTTCATATTTCAACGTCTATAATAATAGACACAAGATAAAAATGTTTGTCGGAAAATATCCGCACACCTACCTTCAACATCACCATGTATTTTATTCCATGTCCAATATTTTTACATAATCCTTTGGTCCATCATCACAGAAGATATAATTCTTCACGATGATGGTCAATTTTAAACTTCAATGGTAATATAAACAATGCAACAGCCGAAATAAACATCAAGATCATCGCCGTTTTACTCCATTTATAAAATCTTTCGATAAATTCAAACGTGGCCCCAGCTTTGCCGTGTACAATTACGCCCCGCTTTGAAGTATGGGAACCAACATATTACCAAATAGCTGACTGGTTCCCATCTTCAAAGCGCAGCGCATTTTGCACACGGCAAAGCTGGGGCCATGTTTGAATTTATCGAAAGATTTTGTAAATGGAGTAAAACGGCTGTGTGTAAAGCACTTTATACACGACTTAAACTGCCTGTTGACATTTTTAATTGAGTGTGATTTAAACATATGTAGGATTTAATAGGTGATTAGGAGTGGATTGCAGGTAATAATTAATGCATAGCTAAAAATTCCCATGTGGCAAATTGACTCTTGTGCAATTTTATCACATGTCAAATGTGAGCATTTCCTGATTTTCATGAATCAAAACCCGGATACCCGTGTCAATCGAGAGCCCTGCAATGTGTCATGTGAAACACCTGTATCCCTACCTCCAAGTTCAAGGTAACACTTAGAGGTCAAAAATTAGCATAGTCTATTATAGGGTGTATTTTATGTCAGGTCTATAACTTCTTCATAGATCAATGGATTTTGAAAAAAAAACTTGGCACAAATACTTTTAATAGTCACCATAATAAGATGATGTGTCATGCGCAACACCTGCACCCCTACCTCTAAGGTCAAGATCACACCTAGAGGTCAAATATTAATATAGTCTGTTATAGGGTATATTTTGTGTCCGGTTGATAACTTCTTCATAGATCAAGGGATTTTGTAAATACATTGTGACATTGTGCCATGTGCAATAACCAGTCGCCTACACTAAGGTCAAGGCAAAGAATAATAGTGTCTGTTATAGAGTATATTATGAGTTTGGTCTTAAAAGGTCTCACTTACAATTAAAAGATATCATAGTCTGTGTTTTTGTATCCAGAGAATAACTTCAAAAGTATTAGAGATAAACTCTGTATAGGATAATTGTTTCCTGCGTTTTGGAAGAAAAAAGGGGGATGTAGAAATGGACTCCATCTGTTTGTCCCATCAAAGAATTTTGAAATAACTTAAAGCGAAAGTCTATACAGATTTCATGCCCCTTCTCTATACAAATTTATCTGCCGTAAACCGTCTGACAGAACGATTTTCAGCAAAAACATCCGGAAAATGGCCCGCCAGCCGATGTTTTCAACTAGACGAGTATGAAAGGGAATACAGTGTTAGATATCATCGAGGATATGTGACCAAAGGGTTTCAGAAGTCTTGGTATGGTTATTTTGTTATATTTTTGTTATTATGATAAAAGGTTTCTTTTTACAAGATTAAAGCTAACATCTTTATCAGTTAAAGTAGTTAATATCTTTGCGCCAATTGCGCATAGAGTCTAGACAGTCTTTTGACGTTTTGTGATAAAATAATATTGTTGAATCTCTTACTTGTCATAATCACGACAATCATCGTTCATCATAATTCGCAGATGGGGTTCAGATAGTATGAGTTACTTCCCTTACGACCTTAGTTTCTTATATGCAATTTGCAGTTAAAACTTAAATGTGAATCTTGATCTTGATCTGTATACGGTGTGACGTCAAAGACATTGTTTACACCGGCCTTTGCAATTATCAAGCGGCTTAGGGCAACATGATACCCTCTCTAATGATTTTTGCGAATGAGTGAAACAAAGGTGTTAGTCGCAATGAATGATTGATTTGACATAAACATTTGTTTAATCTTGTTATTCATTTAATATCAAAATATAGAAAAGATAAAAATGGATTTGTGCTATATTGTTATGAATTACGGACAGGGCGGACCGTGAGACAGGGTGGACCGTATGTTTGGATTGGGCGGACCATATTTTGGGACAGGGCGGACCCTGACTCAAGACGAGGCGGTCTGGAATTACAAACAAAATTGCGCACCTATCCAGAATTATTTTTTTTTGGTGGAAAGTGTCTTGATGGAATATTTTATCTTTTTTGACTCCTTTCTCGTGGTTGACTTCCTTCAATTTTGATTCCTTTGACAAGTTAGTTTACATCATGAACTTTAAGATGCTGTCTGTTTAGCAAATTGATATACATAATGTATAATTATGGTCATTGACGATTAAGAAATAATATATCCCAAACTGTGATTTTATTGCTCAATAACATCACTGTTTGGAGTTCGGATGCGGGGAATTATATCACGAGGGCGTAGCCTGAGTGATATAATGATGCGCATCCGAACGACAAACAGTGATGTTATGAAGCAATAAAATCACCGATTTGGATATATTATTTCGATTCTTACAAGACATCAACAAATAAATGCTGCCCGTGCATGATAATTAGCTAAATTGCGCCTGATTTGTGTCCGTACTTATTGTCAGCGCGTCACATTTTTAGTGGTTACGTCACGTGTATAATGATTACGTCACATGTCTAAATATAGAACGTCAAACAGTGATTTTATAGCATGATAACACACACTTTCGGTTCTTCTATGTTCGATAGGGAAAAATGCGGGTTGTGTAAGAATTGTATTTAAACTATTCTTGGTTGTCCTATAGTTAGTAAGGAATGAACTAATATAAATAATCATTTTTCCTTTATAAAACTTAAATGTTATGAATGGATTATATAAAAAAATATTACAATTAAAGTAATTTTGTCAAGTTTATTTACTTCAGTGCAGAACGAAAATATGTTTTACTTATAAGATTTTTTTCAATCCATTCCCACTATCTTACCCTACCTATTTTATACTTATAATTGCAAGGGTACTGTAAATGTTAATACTCTAAGTATTCACTGTAATATACATTGTATACATGTACTAGTATAAAATTATATTAATTTATTTTTTTAAACATTTTTTTGTTTTGATAACATTGATATTAAAAGATAAAAAAATAAAATAAATGAAATAGCAGTATTAAATTTGAAATTAATTATGGTCCACCTCATCTCTAGTCATGGTCCGCCCTTTCCAAGATATGGTCCGCCCTTTCCAAACATATGGTCCGTCCTGGTATGGTTTGCCCTGTCTCACGGTCCGCCCTGTCCTACGACCATTGTTATATCTTGTTCAATACTGTCTGGTGCCATATAAGTTGTTTGCATGGGACATTACAGAGTGTTACCTTCTGATGCCACATAAGGCAATATAGTTAATAAATCATATGAGCTATAATAGATTACATTACACACATATTTTTATTACTTTATTGTGAATAATTGTATTTATCAATCATATGTAGGCCTACAGAATGCAAATTTAAATTATCTGTAAATAAATTTGTACTGCTTTCAGAGAGATGTATGCAGATCAAACCCATCAAGTAAGCCAACACCATGTCTACAAGGTCATACCTCTAGAACCTCTGACACCTCTACAGCTGAGGACAAATCTTAAAGTTTGTATTCATATTAATTGTATTCGAACTTAAGATTATTTGAATAACTGGAGGAATTTTATCCTTTGCAAGTCTATGTTTGCAGCAGTGCTAGACTTGGTTAGGGTTGTGTATGCAATTTTAAATTCCATATTTTAAGTAACATAATCATTTTTAGCTTGATTTAAAACCCAGGGAAAAGTGTCTCTGTTTCATTCATATAATTATGAAATGAGAAGTTGCTTATTTTAATGTAAATATTTATTATTTACTTACTATTAAAGTATTATAGCATTTTTCTCCCATGTGTTGCAGGTGGACAGAGGGATAGTATGAATGCTTCAGTGAAATTAAGGAGCTCAGGTTCTAACAAGGTACATGTACATGTATACACATGTTTATATATGAAATGGATTCTTCAGATTTGATACTAAATTGATATTATACATATTGTCATGTCTATCAGTGAATATAACTTGATAGGATTCCAATAATGGTTTTTAAATAACAATACAGTCAGAAATATTTTTTTAAAAAACCATTGGAAACATGAAGAAGTCTACATTTTCATGACTTTAATATAATATTCAATTTGAACAATGGAATTATTCACAAGTCTCTACTGTTGGGATGGCTAAATGCTATTTTGTGCAGAAGACCTCCTGGCCTTTAATATTTACTTTGGTGCCATGTATTGCATTATTATATGTGACATTAACCAATATTAAAATTCTGTAGTGCAAGTTAATATTTACTAGTATACCTGGTAAACTTTGTAGCAGGGCAAGTATTTACTGCCGTCGTGATATGACTAAATTGTTGTTGGAAGTAGCATCAAACCCTTTACCCACAATAAATTGTTTAAACAATATTTTTCTCTTCCATTCAAGTGTAGTAGAGCAGTGCAACACAGATGTACTCCGATGTGCAATTTTACAAGTTTTTCCAGACAGTGATTACAGCGAGGCTTGAAGACTACTGTACACAATTTCTTAACAAATCCAAAAACAAAGCCGCGTAACATTCAACTAAGTATGTATTTTTCCTTAACTTCATTATCATACAACATATAGCACAAACTCTGCACATTTCTGAAAAACTTATTTTAAAGGTTGAATTATATTTTACCAACCAACTTCAGAATGTCAGAACTTAGAAACATTATTAGATTTGTAGTCAATTTAGTCAGTCATCCTGCCACCTCAGTGATGTCCCTATTCAGTGACAATAAATTTTGAGACATATTTAACTTAAAAGACCAAACTAAATAGCATTTCACATATTTATTATTTCAACAGAACCTTCCCTGAAAATGCTTTCCTAAAAACGTCTCAAGGAATTGTCAGACTTTTCTACTTATTTGAGGTCATTTCAAGGGCAGATAACTTATACAAATACTCAAATGAATTCTTGTTATTACTTCTGCATTATGCTTTTCTTTTTATTTTTGAGTACAATACATAATAATATGCAATTCCTTACATTGTTTCCATTAACTTTTTCAATGAAAATAAAGGTACTTTAAATCCTTAAAAAAACAGGCCATTTTTTAAGAAAAAATGCACAGAAGAAGTGGGAATAAAAACTACCCACTCTAAATTTGTTCTTGAAATTTTGCATATCAACTAAAATGAAGGTAAGCTTGATGAAAATAAGAAAAAAAATGTATTAATTCTCTTCATTGTAAATTATCTGCCCTTGAATTTAACAAAAAGTCCATTTCAAAGGCAAATGACTCAAAAACGAGAAATTTTTTTTTTGCTTAAAATGTTTCTGTTATCATATTCTAACAACATCTTACATGCCAAGTTTAAAGAAATTCTATTGAACAGTTTTAATTTTGCCTATATGTCTATATGAAAACTTCCAAAAACGTCCGTAAGTGATAAAGACTGACAAGTAAATCAATAACACATTTTGCCATTCCCATGAGTGGTCTTTACTTACAGGTTTGACTGTACATTAAATCTAAAATAACAAAGCACTACATGCTTGGAAGAAAGCCTTAACCAAAATTGAACACTTAGTGCCCGAATTTAAGTTTAAAATTTGTGCATTTATTTAAGTGATCACAATTTTGGTAGAAACAATGTTATAAATGTTGCTTTAAATGCAGAGTAAAGTAAAGTTTTGTCATTTTTTTACAGGTGATTCAAAGAAAACCAAACTACAAACAAGAAAGGGTCGATTGAATGGAGTGACATTTTTACCCTGAAGCGTCCTATTAAGATTAAGAGAATCTAGTCGTTTGTGCCACGGCACAAAAATTATCAGACACATAAGTAACATTCAAGTAGTAGTATGCATTTACATGGAAGATATGACATAATTGTATTTTCATATTGAATTTATCATATAAGTTGAATAAAGAAAAATAAAATGTGAGGCTCTGTCGAGCATTTTAAAAGTTTTAATTAATGCAATTTGGAAAGTCACAAATGTAATATTCTTTTATCACATGTTAGATTTTCCTGTCAAAACATTGAAAATTATTCTTTCTTTTACTATTTTAACAAGCCAACTTAATCAACACTTCCAATACTTTAAACGACATTGACGTCAAATCTTTATTACACTAGTGTATAATAATTTTTTTGTAATGACTTTATTAGAATCCTGTGATGTCAAACATATGATAATGTTCTATTAGCATTAATTGTAGACTTGTTAAACTTTTTTCTTAACAAACTCTATGAAATACTGGTTGAACCCTAATAGTGCTGGAAACAAACGTTTCAGGCCATGTTGACCAGTGTAGACCAGATCTGCAGGCACCCTTGCCAGTTGATTGAACCACACACTTAATTGCCAACATGGTTGAAAGGGTCTTATTGTCCAAGCTGCAAAGAGTGCATACCCATATAAACTAGCTGGCACAGTTGTGTGTCAGTTGATATCAGTCTGTGCTGGTTGCAAATTCAAATCCAATACTTTCATAGAATTATATGTTTTTATTTAATGTTTATAGCATCAATAAATTGATAATCTGAAAAAATAGTGCAAGTCAGGTTTTCAAGTATAATCCTAATTAACTTTTAGAACATTTTGCATAAAGTAAGGTGATATCTCTAAGTTGTCAAAGAAAAGCTTTTGCAGCTCTTTATAATTAAACATGGCATGGCACTTGTATCTATAGCTTTGTCCACCATACAAGTACTCAAATTTTGTGACATTTTTTAATATATTTTTCCCCATATTTCAATTACAGTAATTTGTTACATTTCTCTTTCCTCTATCATTCTTAGTTTTTGTATTTAATATTTCCAAGTGGTAAATAAAAAAACAATAAAATTTCACGATTATTTCTAATATTTTATTTACTTGTGTATTTCATGCAATTTAGGCTAAAAATGTAAAAAAGTAATTTTTGAAGAATTTTTTTTTTTAAGTTAGACCAGTGTTGCTTCAGCCATCAATATGTTAACTTGTCATGTAGTATGTACACAAAACATACTGGAGAAGAAACAGATGTTTGGCTGAATGAAAGTACAAAATGTTTTTGCTTATCGTTTTCCAATGAATAACCATGTACAAGGTTAAATTACTTTTTTGGTGATGTTCTTTTCTGTGGAAAGACCAGGTGTTGCTTCACAATTGTTTTTTTTCCTGACATTAATATCATGTTATGTAATTTCCATTTTTGGCTTTTTGCTTGATATATTGATGTCCTGTGTGAGCATCTATTAGCAATACATGTATCCAATGAGTGTCATGAGTTACTTATAAGACCATGAAGTACAAAATAAAACTATATTACAGCTGTTAATTGTTTTGTCTTTTCTTTCCTGTGGTCAAGGTTTGGTACTGCTATGACTTACTCTTTCAGGGAGTGAACTTAGATATACAACTGTTATTAATAGTGTAGAGGGAATGTCCACTTTTATGTTGACACTAAGAAATTAAAATTGTCTTGGTCTGTAGTAGCAATGCTAGTTTTGAAAAAGTTCTTGCAATTTTAGATGAACATGATTTGCTCCTACCAGTACTTTTATGGAGATGACCTTATATATCTTTGTTACACAATTAAATATTCAAAAAAAATGTTACTTATGAAAATGGTAAATTTTTAGATTCATACCAAACAAAGTCAAGCAAAATGTGAATAGGCACATCATACAGATAGAATAAAGTCAAATTGGTATAGACACATCATGTCCAGTGAAATCTGAAACCTGTTAAAGACAGATCATACTGATTGAAATCTGTATAGACAGATCATAATGAATGAAGTCTGGTTAGATTTGTATAGACACATCATAATAAAGTCTTGTGAAATCTGTATAATAAGACAGATCATAAAAAAATGAAGTCTGGTGAAATCTGTACAGACAGATCATAATGAATAAAGTCTTGTGAGATCTGTATATAGGCCAGTCATAATAGGAATTATGGTAAAACTAATTCCTTCACAAATGTTTTCACGATTAAATAAAAGATAAACATTATCTGCATTTTGAGAAAAAAGTCCTCAAAAAATCTCCTTGCAGAGTCCTGAAAAATCGATCATAAAGATTTATTAAAAATCGATATGTAAATGTGTCTCTTAAATTACACCATACTTTAATGTTATGCACGTTCGGTGACGTCACGTTTATTATATTTTCGTTAAAAGATCTGAAGTTACTTCAATTCTAGCATTCCTAGTGCAAAGGTGAGTAATTTTAGTCATTTTTATATTCTTCTGTATAAATTTTAGGGGAAAATATGTCAGTAGATATATATAACTGACTACAAATTAATCGATTATGCAGATGACAAAATGTGTCATATAATTTCGCGATTTTAAACACAATTTTGAATAAAGTAATCATTAAAAGAGAGTTTATCTTTTACTCACTGTTCTACATTGTTTTCTTTTGTACAATTATCTAAAATGACGCAGAATTTACCACACATTTTACTAAGTATTTAAAAAAAATGTATATGCATAAGTTATGTAAATTTTTCTTTTCTACGGAAGCGTGTTGTGACCAAAATCACGAAAATCTAGGGATATTTTTAAAATGTTAAATTTGACTTATTTCAAAGATTTTGCATGTTTTATGAATTGTGGAAATAATAATTAAATAAAATAATGTGTTGATGTAAACAAACGTATTTTGTAATACATAATGCATTTCTAAGCGAAATGATAATATTCCAGCAATAAATTATAGGAAAAATTGACAGCGTATCCAATAGGGTGTAATCAAGCTAAAACTATTACCTATTAATGAGGAAGTTGTTAATGGAATTTATACATTACTTTTACTTCTTATTTAAAACCCAAATTATTATGCCAATTATTTTATTCTTTTTGTCGGCTCAATCATATCATATGCATCTGAGAGTATGGGGATATAGCAAATCAAAAGATAATTGAGCGTATTCACTTGAAATACTGTAATTTAAGAATTTTAAATGTTAGAGCCAATACAAGCAATTTTCGTATATACGGCGAACTCGGCCGTTACCCATTGTATATAAATCGATACGTAAGAATAATTAAGTTTTGGTGCAAATTGATAGATACTGACAATATAATTTTACGGAAAACATATGAATTAAGTTTATAATCTGATTGTTATAAAGGTAAAAAAAACTGGGTATCAAATGTTAAAGAAATGCTAGATATACGTATATGGTTTATCCGAATACTTTTTTGAAAATAATATCGTAGATAGTAAATTATTTCCAAAAATATTTAAACAAAGAGTTATTGATAATTATATACAAATATGGCATTCATCTCTAGAAAATAATTCTGTTTTAGAACTTTATAAAAATTGTAAATAATTATATTCATACAAAACTATCTTAACATATTACCAAAGGATCTCAATAATAAGAATGTCTGCACAGACACTAAGAGTACCAACGGGTAGATATCAAAATAGAATCCCAAGGAGTGAAAGATATTGTTTATGTTGTTTAGAAGACGAATACCATTTTGTTTTGATATGTTGGCATAAGGAAAAAATATGTGAAACGATATTATTACAAATGCCCATCAATGTGTAAATTTATAAAACTGATTTCTTCTAATAAAAAAATTATACTTACTAATCTAGCTAAATATTTGAGAAAATCGATTGAAATCAGGAACATTATTGAATTTTGATATTTTGTTACAAATTTATACTTAAAATTCAATTGATTTGTTGTATACTCTGGTAACATTTTTTGTTTTAAAATTTTTAATTTTACTTATTAATGAAATAAAAAAAAAAATTTTTTCTTTTTATTTGTTAATAAAACGTTGAATTAACAAAAATTTTTTATTAATTTTTTAAGCATGATTTTAATAAATGCACATACAAAAGGTTTCTCAAAAAAATTTTCTTAGGCGTTTCCCTATTTTATCATTTTAAAAATATTTCTTTTTAAATATCTTTTTGAATAATGTTTTATGGACTTTATATATTTTTTTCAGAGGAAGGGTAAACATAGTATGGGATGGTTTTTAGCAAAGACAATTTTAAACGAAGTCCAGCCTTTTTATTTGGCGAACATAAAATCAATCCCTTGAAAATTTAGTGGGAAGAGTTTTTCCCTATTTCCAATTAGGGAAAGGGAAAAAGGCTAAATTGGGGGTTTTTAAATTTGGGGGGGTTTGGAAAGGAAATCCAGCATTTTTGAAAAGCAATTAACAGGTAAATCAAAGAAAAACACTATATTTTTAATACACTGTTGCTTTACCAGATTCAATTTTGTGTGCTACTGCATAGATAACCTTTCTAAAGGGAATTCACATTTGTAAAAGCTAAATGGTTTCCTTATTTTTAGTGTCCAAAACTGCAGTTTTCTTACATTCTCGGAATTACTAAGAGCAGAGATTTGTTTGTTGGTTTTTATGTCACAACATCACTTTACAGGTCATATAATAACTTTCAAGCGTTACTGGTGAAGGAAAAAGTATGGCATAGGTATTATTTTCAGCACGTAGAACCACCAATATTCTATAAGCTAGTTTGGGATAGCTATGTCAAATAATAGATTCCAAAACCAAGGCAGGGCTTGAACCTACATTCTTTAACACCGTAAGAAGTGT